GTTTCAGGCCCAGTCGTTAGCTTTCCCTCTAGCCTTTTACTTTTGGAGTAGCTATTGGTCCTTACCCTGCTGTGTGAAGAGGACGGGTTATCCAGGTCATCAGAAAGAGATCTCCGGCTCTCGGTCAGCGGAGCGTATCTGTTCTGGATTGGCACACACTTGGTGGTTTAGGAGGATTGTTTGTAATTCTCCCTTTAGCAGCTGTCCACTGCTGTTTCCTAGTATGAATAGGGGTTGAAGAGGCGCTCTTCCTGGGTGATAACAATGCAGGCCAGCCGGTTGCATCACAGATTTCGGAGCTCTGGGCTCTGCCTGTTATCCGTCCTCCCAAATCCCATGGAAATGATTTACTCTTAGGCTTTGCACCCAGAGAGTTCCAGGGAGGACTACCACTTGTAGATTTATTACCCAGTACACAGCCCTCCTGTTTCTTGGAATCCTTGTAGCTGCTAACTAGCTGTGAGTTAGCATACCCTTTTCCATTATTTTGCAACACTGGTAAAGTGGTGTCATTCCCACGACATAGTCCATTCACTTCCACGTTAACTTCCAACCGTTGCATTTTCATTTCCAACACAGCCATCTTCTGTATAAGTTTGTGGAAGTCATCTGTAGAGAACGGAGGCATTTTGCTACCAACTAGCTTAAGCTAAATAGCATGCAGCAGCCTACCAGGCTTTAGCTGTTGCTAGGCCACGCTACTGTAAGACTGAGGTCGTCGTAAAAATGTTGAAATATGGCTGAAACCCTCCGTCTATTTACGAAGATGAATTGTCCCAGTGATAAGTTAATGTCCAGGAGCTGCTGCTCGAAGTTTTCAGAGAATAAGAATAGGAAAATCAGCATAAAAAGTAAGCAGAGGCAAGAGCAAGCAGAAAAAGCGTCTGCACTGTAAGAAAGATAAGCAGTTAGGTGAGTTCCTTTTTATTTCCTGCTTCTTCACACACATGCTCTCTCCAGTACAGGTTAGCTCTGAGTGTTAGCGATGCTTGCTAATGTAAACACAGACCATATGTGACCCGCTCTATCGAAATCAGTCGGAAGTCGCAACGGCTCATTTCAAAATAAACGTGGATTTACGTAAAAAAAAATCGGGGTTCGGAGGTTTTGTTTGATTTTAAACAAACAAAGTCTTGGCTTTCAGAATATGAAACTTTAATTTCCAAAATCACACGATAAATACATGTTTGAAGCTTGTAAAGGGAAGAAGACAGGCACCTCTCACTCGCAATCTGCTCTTCCGCAGCGCCCGCCCCCCCTCCCTCCGGCTGACATTATCAATGTAAGAGTATAGTAATCATAGGCGGCGCGTGAGGCTCAGGTTTGGGAAGGCTAAATAACTTTTTTTTACCTGACACTGCCTGGCTCCGGCGTCTATAGAAAAGAGATCAACTCAGTGAAAGCACCGCCTGCTGACCAATCAGAGCTCAGTGTGGGAGTTTAAATCTATCAAGTCATATTACAGGAGAAAGGAAATACAGTTTAAACTGTCGTATGCAGAGAAGACGCCGACGTGTCGCACTTTATCATTCAGATATAATATCATAATATATCACATTTCCTTATCTGAGTCAGCTTCTCGAGCCGTATGGCCGTGCATCACCTACATTGTCACATACTGTATGCAGAAGTATTATTTTAAGCAACACATTAAGTTGACTAAACACTCAACTCAAATGTAATTCAAGACAGATCCACCCGTGTCTTAGATGGGGCAGTGATATCATAAAACTGTTGTACGCTTTCAAACACTCTGTAGTTATTGTTTAACCAGTTGTTCTATATTCACCTTGCAGGTGCAACTCTGTGGCTTGTATCCTGGATTATATGTTTAAGTCATGGATGGTTAAAGTTCATATTTGTCTAATATTAGTTACTTTTCATTAATGAAGTATGACGCTGCGCTGTCCCTATTTGTGATTGGTCAAATGTAGCTAACCCCGCCCCTTTCACGTGAACGCGCTCTCAGCTGGTGAGAGAAACCCTGGCTTGATTTACCGAGTTGATAACCAGCGTCGTAGGACCGCTTAGCGAGATCTCGTTTATTAGGGTTAGTTAAGATAACTCAAACATATCCAGGGTCTGTTGAACTGGCTTCGTAGTACAGGGCACAGGTGGCTGCATAGCAGCGCTAATGTCAAAGACACAAACATTATACATTATATTTTTATTTTTACCAGGATGCAGTGACACAAATATTTGGGAAGGCTTATCCTTCCCTAGCCTACAGCACCCGCCGCCCCTGATAGTAATCATAGATAACACGGCAGGGTCCGTTACAGTTTGTTTTCATCTGATTTCAATTAAACAAAGTCTTGGCTTTCAGAATATTCAACTTTTTTCAGCAAATTCAGATGATCAATACAACTTTGAAGCTTCAGCATAATTACAAGCGGAGAACAAACGTCACAGCAGGCATAACAACAGCGGTGTTTCTCGTGAGTGTTTCCCCCGGGAAACAAACACAATACACACAAACGCAAAATTACACAAACACACACACACACGTATACACACACACACTCGCGAGCTTCCCCTCCAAACAAAAATATCTTCCCTCCGTAGTACATTGATCATTTAATAACCAATCAGATCGATGGATTCCAGAGAAGATAAAACTTTGAAGGCCTTTTTCTCAAAATGACAATCATTATATAATGTGACATATTTCGCTTAATATTTGGAGTACAACAACAATCCTGATATCATTAGAAAGCTAGGAATCTCCTCTTTCCAGCAGTGTATACAACTCAAAATGTGTTTTCGGGTCAATGCGACTGATTTCGATGGAGCAGGTCACATATTACGTCCAAAACAGTCGGGCATTGTTTCTGATAGCAACGTTTCTGATAGTGGCGAGGGTCTGCATTGCCAGTGGCGGCGCCAGAGTATTTGTGTTGGGTAATCTATGGTAGGGCTAACCCATACAGTGGTGGGGCTCAAGTCAGTATTTGCAATGTAATTACATACACGCTATATCGCCCCCCTTGACAGTGAAACGCCACGCGTGAGGTTTAGATTATTTCCCTGTCTCAATCAAAATGGAACTGCATGAAATAAAACGGCACATTTGTCTTGTAGTAAATAAAAAGGGATCCCTGTGAACGTGATGAATGACATACATGTTGAAGATCCAATGGGGATACTGAATGGCGGTTCCGATCGATCTCAATCAGTAAGGCATGACGCAGACCCAACGTTTCGTTGCTCTGATTGGCTGTAGGTCTATTCAAATTGCATTCTGAGGCATTTTGATCTGACCGCGGCCGTGCTGATATTATAACGCCAGAGAATTTCCACACCTTTAGTGAATAAAACTCCCCCACTACTTAGACTATTCCTTGCACCCCTCTTCTAGCATAACCCCGAATGGTCTCAACCATATTGTATCAGTAACGTGCACTTGTTGTTGTTACAGCAGGATCAGTTTGTGTGTTGTGGACACGACCCGTACATTTTCGCAAGCCGTTTTCTCAACATTTAGCATTTTGCTTATTATTTAATTTGCTCACTTTAACATAATTTTTCATGGTGGGGCTAAGGTGGGGCTGAGCCATTTCTTGGTATGGCTGTAGCCTACCCCAGCCATACCCTGGCGCCGCCACTGTGCATTGCCGATATGACGTCAAATCGGACGCCAAATCTGGATCAGCTCCGTTGATCCCTCGTTTTAGAGATTTGGGTAGCGGAGGAAAAGAGAGAGGGTTTTATTTTCTGACGCTGCGTGAGTTCCCTGACACACCAGGGACACATATTCATGTATAAAAGACATCAAAAAGTGCATTTTGCATGATAGGTCCCCTTTAAGATAAAGATTACAAAAAAAAACACTCATGACGTAGAAAAGCAAACTGCAAACATGGGAACAAATAAACTCGACTGAATACTAGCAACAAAAGTCTCTTGGCGTGAGAAGCTGGCTCTCTTGTTGGCACAAGGCACAAGACGAACTGGCACAGGATAAAGGGAGACGAGGACTATATATAAACGAGGTAATGGGACACAGGTGGTCACAATCAAGGGAGGGGCTGACAACCACACGGGGAGGAAGACACAAGGGCAGGAGAGCTCTGAAACGAGAGAGAAAGTTAAGTACAAAATAAATCAGGAAGTGCAGTGAAAGGACTAGACAGGTGAACAAAGAGACTTGATAAACATAAATCTAACCTGAACTAAACATGAAACAAATAACATGAACCTGCAGTGGCGGTTCTAGACCAATTTGACTGGGGGGGCCACTGGGGGGGCCAGTTATTTTCTGAGGGGGGCACAATAAATGCAAGACGAAAAAGAGAACTAGACAGTATGAAGTAATTGCGCATAACAAAACAATGCAATACAGTTATTGGTATTTGTTTCAGTACACTTATTTATTTCAGATACATCTTATAGTTATTACTGTTAGCTTCAGCTTAAGTTATAGTGCAATGTTTGCACTAACACCATATTTATATAAAAATAAAGGCAATGAACAGTTACATCTCTACTTTACATAAGGGTGTCTGCACAATCTTACATTACAGCAACAAAATCCTGCGGTTTTTGGCAAACCGAGTACCAGAGAATACACATTTTTAAAAAACGAAAAAAATGACTTTTCATTGTTAGGGGGGCCACAGGTCAGTGTTAGGGGGGCAATGGCCCCCCCTGGAACCGCCCCTGTGAACCTGATTAACTAAACATGACATAAATTAGCAGACATGACGGGATGTTACAGAATGTCGTGTTAAAGTTGTTGGTGTGGTTAATATATTTAAAGATAAAATGTTGCCTTGTGTTTGTGAGTATTTTGTGGTTTGACAGTTGTTAGTGTGCCTCTACGTCCCTGTTGGTTTCATTCTGCACTTTTACATGACACCTCTTATACCACACAGTGTGAAACATCCCGAAAATACAGCAGTGGCCAAAACCATAAATCTGAATGTGAAACCGTGTGAAGCTTTGTGTCTGATGCACATTCACACTGTGGTTGTTCTTTGTGGTTTTCTGTGGTTGTGCAGCTGGTGGGGTTTGTGTTCCTGGGTCTGGGCCTGTGGCTGAGGTTCAGCGATGGAACCAGAGCTCTCTTTGAAATTGAGGAATTCAACTCAAGTGCATTCGTTATTGGTCAGTACATATGTGGCATGATTTCACCAGAATAAACATATTGTGTGTCTGAAACATATTTAATCACAGATCTTTATATATTTTTTAAAGCGGTGACTGTCCTGATTATCACGGGCTTAGTGATGCTGATCGTCGTCGTGTTTGGAGTTTACGGCGCCTGCAACGAGAAACGATGCGCTCTTCTAACGGTGAGACTTCTTAACACAGTGACTTCTGTGTATACAGCCATTTCATGTGATTGCAAAAGCCTGCCTTACACAACTGGCTTACTGTAACTAGTGCAGAACTCACTTTTTGATATGGTGTTTCCTTTGTCTAATATGCAAACATAACAACCTGAAAAGGAGCATTATTTTCTCAGTTTCCGATTGAGAAAGTTCCACATGCAAGCGAGGAACAGAGAAGGTATAAATATCCTTCAGTTTCTCAAGAAGTCGACTTCCTCTCTGTGTAGTTTTCGGTCCTGGTGACCATCCTGGCAGTTGCTGTGGTTGTTTTTGGAGTGATTGCTTATTCCAGGAAGGTGGAGGTAAGATGGAAGGAAAACAAACAAGAGAAGAATAAATGTTTAAAATGCAAATACTTTATGTATGTTCATGAAATTGTGTTTTATTTTTCAGATTGGATTGAGAATGGGGGAGTTCTACTCTAGCATATATTTGCTGTATGTGGCTAACAGCGACCCAGTTCTTGCTGTCACTCTCACATTCATCCAAAAACTGGTAAGCACTTTATTGTATTTGTAATCTTAATCATTGGAATTGGAAGAAGATTACAATTTTAATTCAAAATTGTTGTTTGTCTTATATTGTTTCAGACTTGAGATGGCAACATGAATTACTCCTCACACCGAATCAGAGTATTTTTTTATAAAATGTAAAATAAAGACGGTATGAAATAAATGATTTAAATGTAATAAATTGTGTAAATACACAAATGAACCAACATTTTCTTTAAATAATTGATTTGAAAAATAATTTAATTGAATTTAAAAGTGCTATTTCACTAATAAATAACCCCAACAAAAACATATGTTATCAATAAAAACTCTCCAAAAATATAACTAAAATGAGTATCTAATAATATATTTTGAGTTTAAAAAATCTCTTAATTCATTGCCTTATTTATATAATTGAAAATGTGTCCAAATGACAGTATATTTTCTTATTACTCATGTCTTTATTTACTTCTACATTGATTATATAATGTGAGATGTAAAATATGTGGTTGTGATTCTTATTTATTTAATTGTCAGTGTTTTAAATCTCCCTTCATCTCGTTCCTCTGTAGCTTCACTGCTGTGGAGCGACCGGGGTGACGTTGTTAGACTTTGCTAAGGAAACCTGTCCCGACCCAGACTCCTTTTGGGAACACATCAAGATGGATGTAAGTTACTTTAATGCCACTTAGCAGTTTACTGTCGTAATTTAGCCTGTTAGCATGCTAATTTACTAGGACAAATCCAAGCTTGTATGAATTTGAGTTACGACATAAAGACACAATGTGGGTTAACTTGTGTTTAGTTAAGCCTCAAAGACCCCGCCGGCGGGGCTTTTTTTTCACGACACTGTCTCTCAGGGCTTCTTAATATTTTTTTTTAAAACTATGAATGTGTCATACCATAACGGGAAGAAACTCAGCTAACTGATGATACGGACCATTTTTACCGAAACAAAACACAAGTCTCACAAGAAGCGTCTAAATGAGCCCTGAGCGAAAACATGCTAACGCACTTAGCCCAGAACTCTAGCTATACCGATCAATATACTTATTGGGTCAGCACAAACAAGCTTAGCTAACAAGCTGACATTCCACAGATTCTAGAAATATAAGTATCATCACTGAGCGATCAGAACTCGCGACAGGGGAGGCAAATAGAGACAACACACAACGTAGCTTTAGGTAGCAAAACACGGAGATATGCTCACCTTTTGCTGTTATTCTGACCAAAAGTTGTGTTCAATGGCATTAAAACGACAAAAACGTGGCTGAAGGTTAATCCATAGGTTAATCCAATGTGCCTTTCACTTTGAAAAAAGTATCGATAATCCATAATTCCATTTTTATTTCAAAAACGGAGTTTTAATATTAGCTGCTAATGATAGCTTCCAGAGTGTATGACAGCTTCCTGTTTTGGCTACGCGTCACTGTCACTCCTTATTTGGTAACGTGTGTGTGTATGTGGAACTTCCCTTCGATTGTATTGGCTCTAGCGGTTAAAAAGAGATGTCAATCATCAAAATCGACCAAGGAGGGCCAGAGATAGGTCAAATCCAAATGACCCCAGAAGTGGGTTTATTTTGCTAAATCTCTCTAAAAAGGTAACATTTCACTTGTTTTGCATCAATCTGGATACAGGGTACTTATTATATAGTTTGGATTCCTAAAGCTTTTAGTCTACTAACTAACCCATCATTCAAGGGTTGTTTTTTTGGTTGGACACAATCATTTAATTTTAATTTGTGTCCATTCTGGACAAGTGAAAAATGTATTCGGACAAGTAAATTGCCAAACTCACTTGTCCATGGACAAGTACTCTCTAAAAACTTTTTCTCACACTGACACCTGTGCAATAATCATGCTGTCTAATCAGCATCTTGATATACCTGTGAGGTGGGATGGATTATCTCGGCAAAGGAGAAGTGCTCACTATCACAGATTTTTTTCAGAATTGTGAACAATATTTGAGAGAAATGGTTATTTTGTGTATATAAAAAATGTTTTAGATCTTTGAGTTCATCTCATGAAAAATGGGAGCAAAAACAAAAGTGTTGCGTTTATATTTTTGTTCAGTGTACAAACATAGTTTAGCCTGTTAGCATGCTAGCAGTTAACTATGACAAAACTAAGTTTGTATATCCCTCCAGTATTGTAGGATTTTGAGTTATTATGTATTCACTTAAAACACTATTACAATGTAAGTTAACGTGTGTGTAAACTGACCAAAAATTAACATCTATTTTTCATATTTTCCTTCTAATATTCGCCACTTTTACTATAATAATTATTCTTGTTAGCATGCTAGCAGTTAACTGTGACAAAACTAAGTTTGTATATCTTTCAAGTATCGTTTGATTTTGAGTTATTATGTGTTCACTTATAAAGACACGTACAATTATGTTGACGTGTGTTTGAAACGGATACAAAAAACACCCTTTCCTCCTTCTCTTAGAAAATTTACCACATTTAGTCTCTTTGTTGCTATCTTAGACTGTTAGCATGCTAGCAGTTAGCTATTACGAAACTAAGTTTGTTTATCTGTTCAGTGTTGTAAGATTTTGAGTTATCTTTTTTATGACACTATAACATGTGGGCTTACATGTCTGGCAACAAATAAACATATTCTTTCCCTCTTTTTCTTAGATTATTTGCCCCATTTAATATCTTAGTTAGCCTATCTTAGCCTGTTAGCATACTAGCAATTAACTCTTATCTCTCCAGTGTTGTGGGATTTTGAGTTACGATCTGTATTAACTTTAGAAATAAGTACATTCTAGGTTTATCTGTTAAACCGACAATAATTCCCTTTTTTCTTGGTGCTACAGGCTTGTCCTGGGGTGATTGTTGAGGTCTTCAACAGAAATGCACCGGTGGTGATTGGCCTGTTCGTCGGAACTGGAGTTATATTGGTAAGCAGATGTGTTGCTGCTGTCGCATGCTTCAAAATGTAAATGCAGTAAATACATTGCTAAAATAGGCTGGTGAATAACATTTACCCAAAAAATGTAGATATATATCACCTTTCTTTTTGTATTTACTGTATAGTCACATGTTTACTTAAAAAAAATATGTTACCTAATACAGTTAAGCACAAAGGACAACAATATGCAAATGACAAAAAAGGCTTTTTGTTTATTTATTATTAAAAACATTATCAAACAATTACATTAATTAATTACAAAACTAAAGCTGTTGAACAGTTCCTCAAAATTGTACACAGGTACAGTACCTTAATGTATTTTATAACAGTCCACTACTACACTCTACACTTCACACAAAGCAGTATAACGAGTATCTAGCATTGAATTAGCATTAGCTGTTACGCAATTAGCAAATCGTGGACACAATAAAGAGTAGCGAGTCTTGTATATCTTGTTGAATAAAACAGCTCCATACATTTTCAACATGCTTAATTTTGTCGTCTCTCGTTGTTCATAAAGTTATTACTTGTGGTCTAACCAATGCCCTCCTTTCTCTCTTTTAAAAAAAACTCACTTTTCACTCTCTTCATCACTGCTCCCCAAAAGTTCTTGGCTTTGATTTGCAGCTCAATCCTTACAAACAAGCTCAAGACCCCACCCACTCCTCAGTACATCATCCAGACTCAGCCCCCGCCATCTCAGCTTGAATGTATCCCCACCTCCACCTCAATTTCCTACTCGTACCCCGAACAGAAGCCGGTGGTCTTGATCCCTCTGACTGTGGCCTACAACCCAGTGGTTATGACTTAGAGTGGGTTTTTCACTTTTACCACAATGCTCGGGCATATAGGATACAGATCTGGGTTTATTTTCACATTCACTTTACTTCATATTTATCTCTTCTGTGCATGCTCACTGTGGGGTCTCTTCAGCTCCCTTTAAAGGAAAAATCCACCCTTAAAGGCACAAATATAACGGCACTTAAGTTATTGGATCTTTTATGTTGTTTTACGTTTTTATTCCATTAGATAATGGAAAAATGCTTATCTGCAAATATTTTCCAAGCACTACTAAAGAAGGGGAATGATAAATATTTAAGCAAAAGAGCAATTATTTTTCAATAAGTGTTTTTATTTATTTTTATTATATAAATACTGCACATATTTACCCAAAAAACCCGGTGCTGTTGGAGCTGATCTGAACAATAACAAGCCCATCTCCAAAACTCTTGAAAGAGTGGTCGCCAGTCAACTTCAGTCCCACCTCGACATAAACAACCTCCATGAACCATTCCAATCCGGTTTCCGCCCAAAACACAGTTCTGAAACAGCCCTCGTCAAAATCACAAACGATCTCCTCCGTGTGACTGACTCTGGACTGCTCACTATCCTCATCCTCCTCGACCTCACATCTGCCTTTGACACCATCTCCCACCCACTGCTCATCAAACGTCTGGCAGACATTGGGATCACTGGTGCTGCACTCTCCTGGTTTACATCCTACAGCTCAATAATCACAAGTCCAGCTGATCCACTGTTTCACATGGTGTCCCCCAGGGGTCAGATGTTGGTCCACTCCTCTTCATCATTTACCCTCCTCCCCCCTGGCCCCATCCTCTGTCACCATGAGGTCCAATTTCACTGGTATGCGGACGACACACAGGTCTACATATCTACCAAACCCAATGCTGCCCTGCCCCCCACCTCTCTCACCACCTGCCTCCAGGACATCAGGAGCAGGATGAGCCGTAACTTCCTCAAGCTCAACAGGAGCAAAACTGAGGCCCTGTTTGTTGGCTCCAAATCCACCCTCTCCAAAGCTCCACCCCCCTCTGCCCCAGACCTAATCATAGACGGTTTCCCTGTCCCATACTCTACCCAGGTCAAGAGCCTTGGTGTCATTCTGGACTGCTCCCTCTCATTTGCACCCCACATAAAAAAAATCACCCGGACTGCATTCTTTCATATACGAAACATCTCCTGACTCCACCCACAACTTACTCAATCCAGTACTGAAGTCCTGGTTCATGCATTCGTCACATCCCATATTGACTACTGTAATACCATCCTTAGGCCTTCCCATCAAACTCCTCAATAAACTCCAAATCATTGAGAACTCTGCTGTCCGGATCATGACCCGCACCAAATCCTCTGACCACATCAGCCCCATCCTCTGACATCAGCCCCATCCTCTAACCACATCAGCCCATCCTCTGACCACATCAGCCCCATCCTCTGACCACATCAGCCCCATCCTCTGACCACATCAGCCCCATCCTCTGACATCAGCCCCATCCTCTGACATCAGCCCCATCCTCTAACCACATCAGCCCCATCCTCTGACCACATCAGCCCCATCCTCTGACCACATCACCCCCATCCTCTGACAACATCACCCCCATCCTCATCCATCTGCATTGGCTACCTGTAAAATACCGGAGAGACTTCAAAACCCTCCTGCTCACATTCAAAGCCGTCCACAACCTGGCCCCCACCTATCTGGCTGACCTCCTACACCCCCTCTCTCTCGCTCCCTCCGCTCCGCCTCTACTGGCCTGCTAACTGTCCCGACCCCACGCCTAGTCACGATGGGGGCTCAGGCTTTTAGCTGCACTGCTCCCAAACTATGGAACCCTCTCCCCCTTCACATCCGACAGTCTGACACAATCCCCACATTCAAGTCCCTCCTTAAAACCCACCTGTTCAGATCAGTCTAATCACTGAAGTACTACATGTCTCCTGTTTCCCAACATGTCCCCTGTTACGGTCCTTTTGTACTGTCTTAAACCTTTCCTTCTAATATGTTATGAATTGTAAGGTGTCCTTGGGTGCTTTGAAAGGCGCCTCTAAATAGAATGAATTATTATTTATTATTCTTCATCATCGTGGACATAAATAATGTGACACATCCGTTTAATAACAAAACTGTGAGGAAGAGCATGTAGGATGGGATAAAATTCCATACCATTGTTACACTTTTTTTTAGCCATGTTTATCGTAATAAGCATCGTCTTTTTTCCTCTAATGCTTTTTTCGTTTTTGTGGAAGAGTTCAATACAAACTGAACCACTGGAAATATTGTTTTTAAATGAATAATATATGCATAGATGAGAAAGGCATCATGTTCTGTATAATCAATTTAGATGATATGAAATGTTTACGTAAGGTCGGGTCGTATATGTCCCTGTCGACACCTTAAAGTGGGAATTGTTTTGCAATAGATGGGATTTTTCCATAGTTTTGCATTCCATAACATTTCTTTTTTACATGATTGTGCATCAGGAGGACCACAGGATTCAACTTAAATAAAGTAAAGGACCTTTTTGAGTGTGACAAGAATATTGTGTATCAGTCATCAGGTTCTGTAAGAGGCTGTTAATCTTACTGTATAAACTGAGTGTACATTCTGCCTTCCTGTAAACACTGCTTTGGTTCAAAAGGAAACACCATGCCATTAATGACAATTATATTTGTGGTGGAAATTCGTCAATAAAGGGAACAAACAAATGAGACTTGTCTATGTAAGTTTATTAGGCTTCTGCACAATAGGATCGAACTCAGCAAGCAACAGCAAGTCACTTCCCAAGGATTGACCCCGAGCACACTTTCATCAGGGTTTTATATGTATTAGTACAAAGGATCAACAGTTTCAAAGATGAAACCATATCACAGGGAACAACAAGTACAGTCATAGAGAACTCATTATTCAAAGTCATTAAAGAACAGAGAGCCAACAGTACTCGCCTTAAGGGGCTTTCCATAAAATAAAGACCCACTCTTGTCATAGTAGGCTACACATCAAATCTTCTGACAATTAGTAATGCACAATTATGTATTCGTTGAAACAGAGGAAAAATTCATCCAATATCATACACAAGACTATAAGTAACAAGGAGCAACAGTCAACACATCAACCACCACAATATTCACATTTGTATTCCTTCATGCTCTTGCAATCTAATTGTTGTGATCAAATGCATCAAGTGTCTTGTTTAGTATTGCTTGTCCTTCTCTTTGCCCTGTCGTTTTTGCACTATACATTTTCTAATAAATATTCCATACTGGGCTTTTCTTCACCAAGACTTGTGTGTTTTTGTTATTTCCATGAAACAAAACCAGAGTGCAGGTGTGTAAAAGTGTTTATTTCATTGCTCACACGTCACTGTCAGGACCTTTGAGGGAAAAACACAAGTTACTGTCGTGATAAACGAGTCCACATATATTCGTTGGTTATCACATATTTGATTTTTCTATAGTCTTGAATTGTGCTTTAGAAAGGCATGTTTGTAAAGCCCTTTGGAATGATGCAAGCGGCAAACTCTGGGGAACAGCCGGGACGCCAATACGGAAGTGCCACACACTGCAGTTCATACATGGGCCGCTAGGGACTGGCTGCAGAAAGGAGCAATTTCCATAGACCCCCCATGTTAAAATGCCCAACTTTACAGCAGAAAAAAACATGTTTCTACCCATGGATGCAATACATATTATTATCGATATAGTTAGATTCCACCTTCATGATTATGAATCTGTGAGTGAATTGTTTTCTAACACGACCCTTTTATTTATATTAGGTCTTAACGTTTTTGCATAAATTAGGGCGTGGTCACTTTGATGGACACATACATGCCTCACTGTCAGCTAACAGCAACTTGTCCACTCTGCTAGGCTACAACCATAGAGGCTACAACGTTAGTTAGTCATAGTACTGTACTTGACCCTTTAGCTTTAGCCGTGTTCGTCGTGACTGTGCCTTTTAGGGAATATTGTTACAAATACCAGACAATTAAAATGTCGTGCTGTGCGCTTGAATGTACTAACAGAACTTCCAAGAAGTCTAATATGATAATATTATACATGTGAACCCCGTTCGCAGGTGTTTGTGTGCTTGGTAGCTTAGCTTGTTACTTATTAGCCAGCTAAGGACGTAACCCTTTATGCACACATATACATTTTAGTTTATGATTCAGCCTTGGGTAAGACTTTTATAGTCTATGGCTATGACGCCCATAATGCTAAACGGGAGCAAATGTTAATAGGGGACCCAATTATCCCAGTGGTGGCCGCCGGAGCTAACGGAGCCGCAGGGGGCTAGCTCCAGCCGGCGTCCCGGAGCTAGCCCACTGCGGCTCCGTTAGGTCCGGGCGGTGGAGTCCGTCTTTTCTCAACGTGTGAATGACAAGCATTAAGAATAACAAAATATAGCTAATTCTCTTGCAGATTGTCTCATTTGATTATGAATGTAACGTTTAGGGAACTACACTGTTAGCAGTAACTTGGTATGCATGTATTTCATGTTAGCTTAGCTTCTTAGCCTGAGCTAGCTCTGTTTACTTCCAGTTCGGAGGCAGCAGGTCCCGCCTCGGCTCCGCCTCTTTGCCCTTATTTGGAGCAGTCGAGCCGTTAGTGGCCGACTCCACCTACTAAGGGCTTCACGGCAACTCTGCAGAATCCTATGGGTGATGTCACGGACACTACGTCCATTTATATATACAGTCTATGGAATGATGCAATACTAAGTGAGACAGAATTACTTAATTGGGTAATCGGAATGCAAGCAGACACAGATAAGAAACAAGTGACATCACTATGTAACACTCAAGCTTCTATTGGTTATCGCGTGATAGGCTAAGGGGCGGGACATCTCTAAGAGGTTGACCAATCACAACAGAGCCGGCCAGCTAACCAATCAGAGCAGACTGGGCTCTGGTTTCAGACAGAGGGTGAAAAGAGGTGCTGCAGCTAGTGGCGTTTTTATATGTACAAAAGTGGTGGGGCACAAAAAACTTCCATCCATCTTCTCCCGCTTATCCGTGGTCGGGTCGCGGGGGTAGCAGTTCCAGCAGAGAGACCCAAACTTTCTTTTCCCTGGCGACATCAACCAGCTCTGACTGGGGGATCCCAAGGCGCTCCCAGGCCAGCAAAGAGATATAATCCCTCCACCTGGTTCTAGGTCTACCCCTTGGTCTCTTCCCAGCTGGACGTGCCTGGAACACCTCCCTAGGGAGGCGCCCAGGTGGCATCCTAACTAGGTGCCCGAACCACCTCAACTGGCTCCTTTCGACGCGAAGGAGGAGCGGCTCAACTCCGAGTCCCTCCCGGATGACCAAACCTCTCACCTTATCCCTAAGGGAGACACCAGCCACCCTGCGGAGAAAACCCATCTCGGCCGCTTGTATCCGCAATCTCGTTCTTTCGGTCATGACCCATCCTTCATGACCATAGGTGAGGGTAGGAACGAAAATGGCCCGGTAGACAGAGAGCTTTGCCTTCTGGCTCAGCTCCCTTTTCGTCACAACGGTGCGGTAAAGCGACTGCAGTACCGCTCCGGCCCATCTCACGCTCCATTGTTCCCTCACTCGAGAACAAAAAAACTTAGATGTTCATATTATTATATATAAGCTTCTGGTGTTTTTTACACACGTAAACAAATAGCTGGCTATCCATGGTTCCGATAGGATAGAGAGAGGGGGGCGGGTGTCGCTCTATGCAAGTCAATGGGACTCCCTGATAGTTGAAAATCGACGCTAAAGGGCCCAGCACTGCGTTGATAGTGACGCCAAGGGATCCTGACATATAGGACGAGTTGGGAGTGAGAATGTTTGGACAGTGACGAGAGAACTCATTTCCGGCAGCGAGAGCAACCACGTTACTATGAAAACGCTGACACGGGAAATACTGTTTTCACGCCAAGAGATGACGATAACTTCACATGGATACTGGCCAATCTAAAACCTCGCTAGTAACATACGTAGCACATATACATTTGCTTAACTAGAACTGAAAAAATCTTCGTATTCTCCACAAAAATGTGTGTTATAGTGAACCAAAAGTCGTGATAGAGGCTTGCTTGTCAACATCCAGGTATTCCTGCTAACAATACCGTGTCACAATATCAATCGATCCAGCAGAGCAATTAGGCAATACACAGAAGATCAACAAAATATATGACATAAAATGAATTTACCAAAGCTGAAATAGATGGTCAACTTTATTCATTTTCTTTCCGTTTTACTGATTGTTACTATACGCTGCTCTCTCTCGTCTCCTCTTCGTTCACAACTACTATTTTCGCTGCACACATACTTACAGCCAATCAGCTCTGAATTATGTGAGATGACGTTTTGGTGGGGATCCCGGATGGCAGCACAGTCCCCCTATGGTGATTATTTATTTGCCGCACACATTGGCCGTTTCTCAATCGCGAGGATGCTGGCTTGGTAGTCGCGTACTTCCAAGTCACTTCCTTCAGAAACGAAGCCACGGCTTCGGAAAACGAAGAAGAATGGAACGGGCTAACAAGTGTGCCACTCTCTCTAACGGTTTCAACATAAACTGTATCGAAAAAAAATACCTCACTATGTCTATCTAATTATGAAGTTGATTTACTTTCACGGAACACATTTATGGTGATAACAAATGTAACACATTTACCAACACTACACTTTTTCTACGCCACTACACACTTACATTTAAATGTGTGCTGCGTCGGTTCAGCCATTCTCTGCAAGGGTTTTAGAAATTGGTCCGTGCGCAAAGCATTGTGGGGATTTTAAGGACACGAAGTCTACCCATGTGCAGCCTCGAAATTTCCCCCAAACCAAGGACGCGGCCTCGGTGGAATTCCAAGTATGCTGGAGATTGGAACACTACTTCGGCGGCACTCCATGACGTAGCATCCTTGAAATATTGGCCTGGAAGCCAGTATCCTCGAGATTGAGAAACGGCCATTGAATAGAACAAGACTCTGAGCATGCGCAGTGTAGTTTTTACAATACACGTTCATTTTGACAGCAGAGAGAGGGGCTAGACCAGGCATCCTCAAACTACGGACTCTGGTCCGGATCCGGACCGAACCACCACTGTCTCCGGACTCCGAGCAAATTATACTTTTCATATGTATTATCTCTCTGTATTATATGTGAGACATCGCCACAACTTATTCGCAACGAGTCAAAATGCTCCGCTATGTCCACTGCAAACAGCGCTCTGCATGTCTGACTGTTCCACTGTGTTCCACCTGTGTGTGTCAACGCTTTGGTCCAATCACATTCAGCATCCAGTCAGCGTTTTTTCCCCCCAAACAATCTGCGAATCAGAGGCACAGTAGGGCGGGTCTTCGCGGAATGTGGGTGGGAAAAATGTGTGTGTCTCTTTCAACCTGTCTAAGTCAGAGCGAGAATTAAAAAAAAAAATTCAGAGCGAGAGTTAACAGCTCATCTAGTTCCATCTGTACTGTAGCTAGTAGCCTAGTTTCACCTACCGGGGTGGCAACTGACACCCTAAAAATAGACCTTGCCACCCCAGCTGCCACCCCAGTTGGCGGCTTTGTTTTGAAAGAAAAGTTGTGGCTCATCGGACATTTATGAGAGAAAGTCTCTAATGTCCGAGTGCAAGTGAATGCAGCACAAGATGCACGTCATGTAACCCCTCCCCCGGTCCTGGCGCGAGCGTGGATATACGATTGGCGGCGATTTCATTTTGAACTGGACGGCGCAAAACGAGAAG